AGAGAGAGAGACGCCCGGGGACGTAGAAACATGGAGAAGTGCGGAGACGCGGAAAATACGCGCGGGGATGCGGAAATGCGGAAAAGACGCGGAAAATACGCGCAGAGACGCGGAAACGCGGAAAAGACGTGCGGAGACGCGGAAACGCGGAAAAGACGCGCGGGGCTGCGGAGACGCGGTAAAGACGCGCGGGGGTGCGGAAATGTGGAAAAGACACGGAAAATACGCGCAGAGACGCGGAAACGCTGAAAAGACGTGCGGAGACGCGGAAATGCGGAAAAGACGCGCGGGGACGCGAAAACGCGGAAAAGACGCGCGGAGATGCGGAAATGCGGAAAAGACGCGGAAAATACGCGCAGAGACGCGGAAACGCGGGAAAGACAATTGCAACGTGGTCAATCGGGACCGTGGTCAATTGCAACATGGTCAATTGCATCGTGGTCGATCGGGACCGTGGTCAATTGCAACGTGGTCAAGTGAAAAGTCAAGTGAAAATGCTGGTCTGGTCGACGACGACGACGACGACGACCGGGACGACCTGGACGACGACCGGGACGACGACAAAGATGTTTCTTAATCCAAAATTTCACAAATCTGACTTTGCATTGCAATACCTCCACTCCTGGGGCACGTAGGAGAAAAGTAAAAACACTTTTATTATGCAAATCGTACCCAAGCTATTGATTAAGCGCAGTCTCAATTTCGTCGGATCAGCCGTTGTTGAGATCCGAAAATCTGAGGGCCCGTCAACTCGTGCACTCGCGTAAACTTACACGGTCGGTCTCGCACGCGTGTACTAGCTACGCTTACACTTGGCGCGAGACACTACCGTGTCTCGTGATAGAGTCAATAAATGGAAGTCAATATATATATTTTAAAAATTACTTGAACAAATAAATGTTAGGTTGTCAGATTTATTATCACAAAAGAAATTATAGCTAAAAACATGGACTCGCTGCATGTCTTAAAATTACAAGAAGAAAACTAAAATAATACCTTTAATACGTAAGCACAGCCAACAAAAAATCTTACATAATATTGCAAACTTAATATTACAACAACAAAAAATAGGATACAGAACGTATCGGAAAGAATTCCAATCACAATTGTTTGCTTATTTCTTAGGTTTCTATTGTGAATCCGAGGCTCGATCATGAATTTTTTCCTCTAGCGTAAACTCGTGAAAACTGAAAATTTTCATTGATGCGAATATAGAAATCTTCAATGATACTTTTCACTTTTCATGAGTTCACGTTAGAGGAAAAATTTCATGATCAAGTCCCTGATTTATTTTCACACAAGAAATTGTAGTATGGGCTCGCACGTCTCAAAATTACAAGAAGGAAACTGTTTGGGAAATTTCCTCACTTTCGAATCTCGTCATGAGATCGAAAGATCGCGAAATCTCCGTGAGCGCTGCGAGTGGATCGGGGGGTGAGAAAGGACGTGCAACGTGGCGAGAATGACTACGATACCGTTTCTTAAAATGAGATGACTGTTTAATTGTATGTACACTATTTACAATTACTTGGTGTGGAATTTGGGTGAGCGAGTCCGTCGAGCTCTCTTGTTCGCACAAGACCGTCGGGGGTGTGCCGCCAGTTGAGTCGGATGCCGGCTACAAGCGAGCGTGCACTTACAATGTGAGAGGCCTTTGCGCAGAACACCGATGCACTCGATTTGAGCACTGAACTAATGAGTCTGTCCCTGAGTGAGCACTAATTGTCAATGTGAGCTAACCCGTGAGCGCGAGCGCGATACTTTTCGTCAGCCGATGCGAACTTTACCACGACTTACAACGACGACTTTCTCACGACGACTGAACTCTCTGAGCTTGCGCGCAAGCCCTCGAGCCATGTTCACGGGCCCGACACGTGCTCGTTACCCGGTCGCGCGGTCGCGCGCGCGGTACCACTGGGCCTCGCGAATAACCGTGAGATGGTGAGGGCAGTACAATTGAGATAACTGGAGGAATCTCAAACAGAAACTAAAATATCTTTCGTACATAAGCACAGCCAACAAAAAAATTGTATATAATATTGCATATATATTGCAAAAAATAGGACACATATTACAAAACTTTTCAGGATGATCGCAATTGTTTGGTTATTTCTAACATTTCTATTGTTTTTTAGAGAAAATAAAATAATTCCGTTTTAGGTTGATTCTGAAAAGTCTTGTAATATCCTCTATTATTGTTAAATCAAATAATTCTAGCGCTATATAAAATGGAACTTAGTAAACCAAGAGCAAAAGACAGACTTAAAGCTAATTTATGCATACAGTAACCGTAAACTTATGTTAGAACCAGTAAAGTTCAACACTGGAATTTTAGTGTTTCTGTTCGGCATAAATTAACAATTACGACCTCCATAAATCGGCCATTACAATTTATCAATTAATTTTTGCATTTGAGTCTCATATGATTCAATAGCTTTACTAAGAATACTTAATGTTTCTTGATGTCGTTTCTCTCGAGCTGTTTCTCTTACATTGGCATCTTCTCTAAGTGTCGTTAGCCATGAGTGAGTATCTCTTTCAAATTTAGTTTTCTTCTTTTTGGGTTGATATTTTAAAATTTCATCAGAATCTGATTCAATGTCTGTAACTGCGAAATTTTTGCAATTACGAGAGGACGCAATAAGGTAAAAGTACCAATGACTGGCCATGTCCCATTACCTGGCCATTGATGGGAGTTTTATATAAAGTAAGACTAATATTTTTACTGATTTACATTATTTAGTTATTCAGTCTCTCATATTAAAAATTATGTCACTAAACTTTTTGTTTAAAATATTAAAAAATATATTTGAATTATCCTAGTCAAATGCACTGTGAGTTTTCACAGATTCCTTAAGATATGGCTAAGGAAAGTATGGTACTTGTTAAGATGATAATAATTATAATATTAGGTTTTTCTGCATAAATAAAGTAGCTGTAGAACCTTAAGAATATTTATAGTAAATAGAAAATAAAAAATTGCACATTAAAATTGTTTTCTAAATAAAAATTTACGTGGCTATGAATCGGTACATGATTATCTTGTCTGCCCTATAACTAACCGGCCGTCCAGTTATCGGGCAAGTCGCCATCTGAAGTGCTTATTCGTATGTCGTAGTACCTAGCCGCAACACGTGCTCGAGAGTTTTTCTGCTTGTTTTCTGTATAAAACTTGTAAGTATTTATTATAAACATTACTTGTAGCGATATTGTAGATTGTATATATTTTTCAGGTTTATGCATATCTTTCGTTCATTTTTATTGACATGTAGTATATATAACCTCAAATTTTAGATTATATTTGCTAACTTATTTCTTGCATTTTTTATTTATAGAAAAATCAAGATGGGCAAGGACACTAAGAAGAACAAAACTAAAAC